ATGTCCTTTTTGGTTTCACACCAATTTCCATTTTTCCTTTGGAGGCATGATATTCTATTCTTCCTTCTTCTTGCTCCCATTTTGTGCATCCATATTAGCATAGCTAGCACACCTACTTAGCTATCGATATTGGGGGAGGAAGGCAATGCATACAACAGAAATATACTTATGCTATTTACATACAGTTCTCTCATATGGATTTCTTGTTTTCATACTCTTGTCTTGTTAGCCATAGCGATGTGCATAGATGAGAGTCTTTCGTACTTAATCGAGCAAAACCAATTGGAAGCTGTTCTAGATGTGTTTAGAAGGTATTAGGACACAAGAAAGACCATTATCGAGATGGAATTTTATGACTCAAAAAAGTGATAAGAAAAATGCATTTCGAGAATTATTGAGTAAACAAAACCTTCCAACATTAGTAATCAAGGGAGCACCAAAAGCATTATCACCACTGATAGAAGCAGGTCCATTTTACTTTGGAGCCTTGATTTTGACATCGGTTTCCTCTTAACTCATGGATTAGTCTCATCACATCACTTGGGCTGGGGACCTTGGTCCTTTAATTACACTACTAGTGTCTCATTTTATACTAAAAAGGTCTAGGCGAAGGACCTTGGCCCTCTTTTCTTCTTTAATTACACTACTAGCACAGGTTGGCTTTATAATTTTCTTCTTTTATCAATAACTGTTTCACATACTCTTAATTCCTAAGTACATTATGTCTAACTTTTTCATTTGTTGCAAAATATGTTATTTATACTCTTTCACTAATATGTGAGTAAGCATAAGAACCTGGAAAAGACCTAATCTGCTATTGGAGGGACCATGTTTGCTATAAACTATGTTACCTTCCCTGTACTTACCAATCCACATGGCATGGTTTAATAGCTCAATTGGCTCAATTGAGGGAGTTGATGGGGGGGGTTTGGGTTTGGTTTATAAGTCCCTGGAAGGACCTCAAGAGTTGCCGGCTTTTGAGGTTTCTTCTGGAATTAGGTTTATAAAAGCCGAATTTCTAGACTTCAGTTTAGAAAAGGTCAAGAGGGAGTTGATGGGGGATATGGGTTTTTGGCTTATAAGTATCAGCTTACTCATGGCATCTATTACAAATCAAGTGTCAGTCAACTTGCGCTACAAAATCTAATTTTGGACATTCTCGTTGATGGGTTTCTTTGCAGTGGTTATGCTATCCTTGACCTCCTTGTTTGAATTGTAGTTTTCTAAAGAAATATTTTTACGCTTTTCATGAATTTTTTTTTTAATTACTTTTTTTTATTTCACATATATCAAATTATTACACTATATTTTCTACAAAAATTTCTAAAAAAGCAATCCAAATGCGACTACAGGGAAAGTTTGGAGTTGGCATTGGTTGCGGAAACATTTTGTGAAGGAAGAAGACGAAAAAAAGACAGAGCTATTGAGCTACTTACAATCTAGAATTTTGAGAGGTGGATACACTCAATTTAATAATTGTTAAATTAGTTAAGGAGGTTCTAGAGATTGCACTGGAATTAAGTTTTACCCTTATAGTATACAAATTAGCTCTATCTATGACCATTTATCGTATTTCGAAAGCTAAAAATGAGTGGTTATTCCAAAAACTGAATGCATCTTACAGTGTAGTTGTGAAGTAAGTTATTATGGATATGCAATGTCGCCTCATATGCTGAACTATAGAGTGGATAGAAGTCCAAAGAAATAAGATCCGAGTCCCAATTGAATCTGCACCAAAGATTCTTTATTTAGTTATAGAATCTTTTGGTTGGTTCTTTCTTAATTTTTTTTTATTCCTGTTCTGTACTATTGAAGTTTTGCCACGTTTTTTAATCAATGAAATGACCTTTTTTTGCCCTTTTTCAAGTGGCATTGATTCTAATTTGAGATGTCTTCCAAATGCTACTGGAATCAGAAGGATACAAGAGAGAAGAAGAAAATGAAGAAAAAAAAAACACATCAAAATCTACTAAATGCCAAAAAGTAAACACTTAAATTGCCCCCACCAGCGATAAGTCCTATATTTGCATGTGTAGTTAAAAGAAGGGATAATTTCAGAAACCTCCCCGAGGTTTCTGACACTTTCACTGGCATCCCCTGAGGTTCTCAAAATTTCACTGACCTCCCTTGCTTTTGAGTTTTTGGTAACAATACAGTCCAAATCTGATTACAATATTATTTTCGTGTGTGAGAAGGAATTTTTATTCCATGGCTGCCCCTTTGCTCCTTGTATTAGTAGAAGATTGAAAGAATAATAAATTATTAGAATGATTACTAAAGTTGAGGGGGCGTAAGTACAATACAAAAAATTGTAAGCACTAGATGTGCCAGGGAAAATGCCATTTTTCATAAATCTTAAGTCAACTAGTATGTTATCTATTTAACATAACTTAAGTAACTAATTAAACTAATTAAATTACCTGCGAGTATTACTTTCACATAATTAATTTATGTTAAATACAGAACCTACCAGTTTCCCTTTCGTAAAAATATGAGTGTAATGCTTTTTGAATTTTACTTACAACCATTTGTATATTTAATATAAATTAAATGATTCAGAGTAAAATGCCTATAAATAGCTAGTACTTTATTCATATAATAGAAGAAACTCGTAAAGAGTTAGTAAAAAGTGGGTAATTTATTTTTTTACTTTCACGTATTTAATTTATGTTAAATACAAAACCTAGTAGTTTCCCTTTCGTAATAATATTAGTGTAACAATTTTTGAATTTCACTTATAAACATTTATGTATTTAATATAAATTAAATGATGCAAATTAAATTGCTCATAAATAGCTAGTACTTTATCCATACAATGGAAGAAACTCGTAAAGAACTTGTATGTTATGGAAATTTTTTTTTACTTTCAAATACTTCATTTATATTAAATACAAAACATACTACTTTTCCTTTTGTAAAAATACTTGTGTAACGGCTTTTGAATTTTATTTGCAAATATTTATGAACTTAACATAAATTAAATGATTCAGAATAAAATGCCCATAAAACCTAGTACTTGGTTCATATAATAGAGAAAAGCCATAAAGAGTTGGTACTTTATGGGATATTTCTTTTTTAAAAAATATTTAGTTTATGTTAAATAGATAACCTACTAGTTTTTTTTTTATAAGAAGTTACTGTAACATTTTTTGAATTTTACTTAAAAACATTTATATATTCACAGCAGGCACAAAAATGGCGCCTTACTCCCTAATCCAGCTTTAATTCATGTACTAACCATCAAGTTTGTGTTATTGTTGTTAAGCTTGATTAATCACTTTAGATGCCTTTTTCTCCAACTAAACGGTAGTAATACACTCCATCTTCAGTAATAAATTCCCAACTTCATAGGATATATTTGTAATTTTGGCCTTCATGATGTCAGCAAATGGGTTCAACTTTCTATCAAGGGAGGTCAGTGAAATTTTGAGAACCTCAAGGGGTGCCAGTAAAAGTGTCAGAAACCTCAGGGGAGGTTTCTGAAATTATCCCTTAAAAGAACCATGGAATGAATTCCTCGCGCACAGTCCATGCCTTTAGCCGCCCATTCTATGGGCAGATAAAGGCATAGTTTTCGATGCCATAGTTTTGCTTCTTCAAAGCACTAGGCTTAATTTAAATGCTCCGTATTACTGAATTTTGAAGCCATGAATCCGTTAGAAAAAACAGCATTTTCTTCTATCTCAGCCTTGGAAAGAACAAAAAAAAAATTTTTGAACCTTCAAACCTTTTAGAAATCCCACCTCGATTGCTGCAATCATTTAAGCCATACATTTTGACTCTCTATAAGGGCGAAGCCTTCTCAATGAGAACAAGTTGAATAACCAATTAACATACATTTAGAAATGGACTTCATTGATATTAATCGATGTAAAGAATAAGGCAAATTACACTTTATCCCCCTTCAATTTAGTGCTTTTTCATATAACTCCCTTATATTTTAAAAGCTATACATAATCTCCTCATAGTTTGAATTAAATTATCAAAACAACAGAATTTGCATTCCATAATGAAGTCAACTAAAATGTCAAAAGTATCTCTATATAAAGTCAAAAATTATGTACTAAATCATAAGGAAATTATATAGTAAAGCACTAAACCATAAAAGGTTTTATGGTAAAATATAAAATCACACAGGGTTAGAGTATCATGCATATTATGTTTATATATTTCAATCACTTCACCCATTTTAGTTTTTAAACAAGGGTAATTTTGTCATTTTTATGAATTTCGTTACAAATGATCATTTTCGTCACTTTAACACTTTAATTCAAATTATGAGCGGAAAATATATAGTATTTGGAACTATAGATGTGTTTTGTGAAAAATTGCTAAATCACAGTGGAATAAAGTGTATTTTGTCCTAAAAAAAACTCTGTGCTAAGCTCGAAACCTAGCAAATGGTAAGGCACGAAGGGAAGAAGTTTTTCACTAATTTTTGTTTTGTGAAATTCAAAAGGTAAAATTGTATTTAAATGCTTCAACACTTTTCTGGTTATCTCAAACAACAATAAATATTCAAGTCATTCCCATTAGAGATAATACCTAAAAAAAAGAGCTGATAGCAGAAATACAGTTTCAAGAAAGAAAGGGTTAACAAGAAGAACATCACAGGAAGAAGCTTTGAAATGCTACCATAAGTTGATCAAGAAGATCCATATTATTATTAGGAGGACCCCAATAAATTTCAAAGATTCTGGGATCTGGGTTCAGCTTACAACAGATTATATCACGTAAGATCAAAATAGCCAGCACAGTAATCCATTTAAGGACTGCTATAGAACCATATTTCCTAATATATAACCTTCAGATATTAGAAACTACCAAGAGATGAAATCTACTGGATTTCTTTCAAAAAGTGATTCTCATGGAGATTAGAGCACAAGATGGGAGTGGGTAACTTGTGCCTATTTGCACGATTGGTGTTTAACAGACATCAGAAGAGCTTCACATTATTCAAAGAGACTGATTCTCCTAATGCTACTTAGACAATTGCAGAGTTCACAAGAAAGTACAGCCCTATACTCTTTATTAGTTTCCCAACATGTAAAAATTGCATCCTGTTGTTTCGAGAATACAAAGAATTTGAATAAAATCTAAAAATACTGTCAAAATGCACCAATGAAGCAACTGAAATTTGAAATGTAATTACGTGGAAGCTCTTGATCAAAATACCAAGAAATAAACTTCCAACATGCCCACAGGCTTTGGCGAGAACTAAGCTATAACCATCATTTTCCCAGGAGGAAAAGATTCTTAAGGGATCCAGTCAGTGAAGACACCAATTTCATTGATTCAAGATAAAGTAGACGTCTTTGTTTCAAGTCCATCTTGAAGACCTGGCATTAAAACATCCCATTTACCTCCTGTTGAAAATTGGCTTCTTTCTTCTTCTTGAACAAGAAGTAGATTATGATCATGATACTTAGCACACGAAAAGCCACAGAAGATGCCCCATTCATTTTCTCACATAAAATAGATACAGTAAGAAAATTATGCTTCAAACTACCATTTAGTTAATAGACCACAAGGTATGCTTTGTTTAACTAATTAACTAGGGAAATGCATCAGAGCAATCCAACAGAAAAGCTGAAAGGAATTTTCAGTCCTCAAAGAAATGCACAAGTCATTTTCAGTCCTCAAAGAAAAATCTGGAAGGAGTTTTAACATAGACAAATTGCAGCTTACTTAGCAAACCACATGCATCAAGCATGTAGAAACCAGATGCAGGGCATGCATATTGTTGAGACATCATGAAAAAACAACATTACCCACCAGTTCCATTAATGGGAATTAACTGAGACACCAACAAGAATTCCAGCCAATCCATAGTAAAGACCCCTCAAATTAAGTCTTCCTCACCAGGAACTGCTACATATGAAACCATGAAAAGCTACTCTGAATCTCCCTTAGCTTGTACTGTATATAATTCTCAAAGAAAAAAAGGTGTTCATCCCATCTAATCCCATGGACTTCTTGTGAAAATTTTATCTGTTAATCCTTAAACATACATCTGTTAATGCATATCCACTCCAGAGCTCATGAATACTTATTGCAAATGACAATTAAAATTGGGTAGTCACAAACATTGGTTTTGCACAACAAACCTGGTTGATGTCTTGTTTTTATGTGTCTAGTGGGGATAAAAGACACGACAAAAATGCCAGCTGTAGTAAATAAGCAAAAGTAAATAAGCAAAATGGTTATGAATACATTGAATGTGATAGCTGACAAAATTTTGCATCCAAAAGTGCAAAATGCACATGCCTGTCCTTTAACTGGAACTTTATTTTACTGCTACGACATACCAATGAGATCTGTTTGTGCTTCTCAAGTCTTTGCAGCCTTCAAAAGTTTAAATGTGTCATGTAAGTTCGATGCTTGATAAGAAAAGAACCCAAGTACTGACTTTTTTCAAATAAACAGCTAAATGCTTGATATACTAAATGGCAAAAAAAATATTTGCACCTGACAAGCCTTCATTGGTTATTGGATTCTATTCATTAGCACTACATACTGAATAGTGAATACATAGTCAAATGTAGACTTTTAGGGAAACTATGACATGTAAGTTGGATCCTTTTCAATGGCTTAGAATGAGTGAATACATATAAGTGGTGGCAAGAGTATACCCGAATATCTATTTTTCTACTTCATCACCATGGTCAGTCACCACCTTAGTGGAAACCCAACCAAGTAATAGGGCCCGTAAATAAAATATATATAACATATAACAATAAACACAAAACCCCTGTCATAAGCAGATACCCATTTTGCCTATCGTTTTTGAATTTCTCTACATTTTGAATTGCTAGGGGCATAACCCCAAAAGAAGTAAATCCAGACCCTAAAAGAAACACTCTTTATGAAGTATATTATTAACTCCAAATCTCTGTCATTTTCTTGTGTCATTAATTCCAAAATCATAGATTCTAAAAGAAAATGAATTCAGACCACAGAACTGAAGCAGCTATTAGTGTACAAACCAGAAATTTGGATTTGCCAAGTTGCTTGTCAGTTCACTTCCCACGTAATGAGTGCAATGAACCTTTTATCGTGCTGCGGTATCATGTAAAGTTCAATCAGTTGTTAATACATAAAAAATGCAGCAAAGGAAAGTGGGAGCTATTGCAAAGAAAGCTTGCTGGAGGTAATAAGTAAATGGGGCTATAAACAGAATTTACAATACATCCAACTAAATTAGAAAGGGCAATTAATTCAGTCAAGTCAAATATGTTATTAAAAAAATTATCAAATAATTCCCAACATTTTTCATTTTCACTAACTTTTACTATTAACAATTACACCAGCTAAATAATATATGAAAACTGGAGTTTGAGAAGTAAATAAGAAATGAAGGGGAAAAAACGAAAAAAGAAAAGTAGAGAATTAGATTGTATTATAAGTCAAAGTCTGTTTTTCTTCTACTTTCTCTTTGGTTATTTCTAGGAGTTAATGTTTTTCACCACATTAGCTTCCCCAACTTTTAATTTTGAAATTCTCAATTTATAGTTACACAGAAAACTAAACAGCAATGACCAATACACACAAGAACTTGATGTTGCAGGAAGACAAAAGCTTTAGCAACACTCCAACTTTTTTCGTAAAAGATCCTTACCACATCTCAACAGGCTCCTATCAGAACTTTCAATTATTTTCAAACACAAAACTTACCAGAATAACTCAAAATTTCCTTTTCAGGCAATTTGCTGATTCAAAGAATAAGCAGGTTATCTATTTCAACCCTATTCCTTCACTTGGAAGTTATTATCAAAATCTCGAGGCTTTATTCAAATCCATTTGAGCACGCAAGCTCACAACATGCAATTTGATTAATTGTTTGTTCATTCAAGCATGGTATCTCAAATGCCATTACTTCTGTCTGTTATTGCAGTTGCAGTCAAATATAAGTTTGATTGAATTACGAGTAATACTGGCTCGCAAACCATCAAATTGCGTAGTGAATATGAACAGCTAATGGATACAGTTTTGCTACTTGAGGCATTTATTCTTTCATATGTAGTACACAATGCATGCAGGAGATCCAAGCTACGAAACATGCATAGCTCATCAGAATACCACAGCATTGAGATTCCATAAAGGTAAAGGTAAAATCATCTAATAAATCTAGAAACCCATATGCTCTGTAAGAAGCTTGTACAGCTTTTTAAGGGGTTTTTATTACTGACAATGGTTGAATGTTCCCCAGTGCTCGTAAAGTTTGTAATAACCTAGCCAATTGATCTTTACAGTGCTTACTCTAGGCAATTAAATTTGCTTGCATTCTCTACTGACAGTTGAACGGCATTGTCTTCCACCTTGGCAACTGCAATCTAACACTTTACATGCTAGGAGGATAATATTTTTGAAGATAAGAGTAAATTTCCAAATTAAATGACAAAACATTTTCCATGTCTCTCATTCCACAAGAAAAATAACAAAAAAATAGCATAAAAAATGATAAATTGTGTGTGTGTGTGTGTGTATCATCCCAAGGGCTTCCGTTTTGTATTAGGTGAAGATAGAATTCATGAGTAGTTCTTGCATAAACTAGAAATGGATTTGCACGTAATAGGAATTAGTGGGGTTTCAGATGCAGCTAGTTACCAATAATTAGCAAGATCATCGGAGTTACTAGTAGGTGTCCGGTGCAAGAAAGGAAAATATAGTTCTACAGTAAGTAATCCTCGAACAAGTCCTCAGCAAATAAAATTTCTTTGATTGCCTTAAGACACCTTAATTTATGCAGAAACCTCCTTTTCCTTTGAAGCCACAAAGGCTTTGTAGCTTAGATTATAAGATTGAATTTTCAAAATACAGTTAAAGAGGTGGAACTAACTGATCCTTGTATCTGAGTAATTCTTTGTGAACGGAACTTTGTACAAATTGATATGAATTGCACTTTTATTTAGAAAAAACTATGACATGTCTTTATATTTGTGGCACTTCCATTGTGTAATATAAGGCCAACACAAAAATAGCACAAAATAACATGCAAAATTGGTTGTACATGAGATTCAAAATGCTATGAATCAAATGATATAGCCAAGAGCTTACGTCATAATGCCTACATCTAAAATGATCTTTTCACTGTTTGAGGCATATTAGGCATATTTGAGATGCAACTGCATTTTTGTGGAGTTCTTCTCCTATTTCTTCTGATTGCAGATGATTTAAGTGAACTAATCACTAACATATAACTACCAGATATACCTGATCACTTTCATTTGCAATGTTCTTATCATTAATGTGCTGGTGTATTTTTTTGTTTTGTCTAATTTATCTGTTCTTTTTCCTCTGCACTTTTTTCATTAAAGCCAGGGCTTTTAATCTTTTAATACATACATCTTCAAGTTTAAAAATACTGATTTCAAACTACAGAATAATATTTCCTCTACACAATCAGTAATCTGCGATACATGACTGCTTCCCAGAGTACAGCAGTAATAAAGATACATCATTGCATGATTGGATCTTAAACTCTTAGATAACTTAGATATAAGAAATTCCACATAATGAAGATTTAGGCCTCATGAAAGATCTTGAATATAGTAGTAATACTTCCATTTACTTGGGCATGAACCCGCTTCTCATAGATTAGAGAAACAGAATCAAGACTACTACCAACATCCCCTCAAAGCCCCTCTTGCCCCAAACACCACCAACACCCCCCTCCATCAACAATCGGGCTCCCAAAAAAAAAGTTACCACAAGTATCTCTTTTCCATACAGTTAAACATGGATACTTAATTTAAATACTTGTAAAGAATAATGTATGTTTAGCTCAAAAACTCACCAAATGGTTAAGGCACTAAGATTTGCAGGCAAGGTCTTCACTGCCTTTTGTTTTGTAAGTTCACAACTTCACTTAAACCAACAAATATTGTCATGCCCTGCAAAACACAAGAATGTTGTTAAATGCTTGCATATGTTGCCAGTACTCTCAAATAACAAACAAAGCTGTTGAAGTGATTAAGATAGTAGCTCCAAAAAGCTATAATATTTCTACTCTCAAGCAAAAAAGAATTGAAAAAAGGATTCTGATCTAGGCAGGGAACATCACAAATAAAGTTCTAAAGCGCTACCAAAATGGGATGACAAAGAACCAAATGATCATTTGAAGAACCTTAAGTTGTAAGATTTCGGATGAGGAAGCAACAAATATTATTTAGGAACAGAAATAGTCACCACAGAAAACCTTCTTGGGACTGCTATGACCCCGAATCTCCTAATGATGATAATTATTTATATCCACCTAGCTTCCTACTACATCCTTGCAAGCAAACGCTGGGTTGAACACTTAGTCCTATAATCTTTAGTTTCTCAACATGCAAAAATCACATTCTGGTGTTCCAAGAATATGATGTTGGAAAATGTATAATTCTCTCCACATGCATCTCCATTTAACAGACACAATCCCCAATGAAGCAACAAATTTAAAAAACACGCTTATTGGAAGCTTGGGACAAAATACAGATAAAAACTTCACATGTGCAGTCAGACTTGCGTTAGAACTAAGGCTATGACCATCTAATTCCCAGGAGGAGCAGATTCTTGATGGCATCCACTCAATGACGCTACCAATTTGATTTATTTCATGACTTAGTATCTTTTCTTCAAGCCTATGACGAGCAGTTATAATTGCATGTATTATCAGATATAATCATGAAGATATATAGTAAAAAAAAAAAAAAAAGACTTCTCATCAAGTCCAATTTGAAGACCTGGCACTGAAAACATCAACATGCTCCTCCTGGCTGCCAAAGATGGGGCTTCTTTAGACCTCTCCATATAGAACTAAAATGTGGTCATGATACTTATCTCATGACGAGTAATAAAAGATGGCCATCAGTTATCTCACAGAGAATGGAATGGGATAAGAAAATCATGCATTAATTAACATTTAGTTAATCCATCTAAAATTTACGAGGTATGAAGCATTTTATCATATGATTAGGGAAATGCATCCAGAAAATCCAACAGAAAGGCTGCATGAAAAAGTATGAATAAATCGAGCAAGCCATGCTCAGTCCCTGAGGAATCTGAAATCTGGAAGGAATTTCAAAATAGGCAAATTGCAGCATATTGAGCCAAAAAAACATATATCATGCAGAAATAGAATCCAGGAGATGCAGTACATGATGTTGTTCAAAACTGCATGAAAAATGGGCATCATCCAGCTGTTGCGGTTATATAAAGCTCACAATAAGACACAAGAAAGATTTCGAGCTAATCCTGCGTGAAGGCCCTTCAATGTTACCTTTCCTCGCCACAAACTGCCAAATGTTAAACCATGACTTGGAACCTTAGCTTACTGACAACAGTACAAGAACTGTTGTTCTCCCGTGGCAATTGCGAGATTAATACTTCACTCTACTTGCAATGACAACATTTTCATTCAAGATACATTTACTTTCTGCAGCTAAATCTTAAACTATTTTCCACATATTCCATTCCACGAGAAAGATACAGAACTTGGAGAAACAAAAAACAGTCATTTTCCCAAAAATAGGAGGCCAAGTCTTAGCCCTTTCCATCACCCCACCTAGTTAATCAACAGTAGAGAGTGTAGAGGAGATGCAGTGCCCCTTACACGAATGAAAAGGCTTCTACCACTTCAACTGCATATGGACTGATTGAGTTAAATACTAATTTATTGCAGTACAATAAAACCAAATGATGAGAAAGGAAAGAAAAAAAAAAGCAATTCCTTTTGCATTTAACGAAGGATGCATATATGATGTGCATGTCTTTTGTCCCAAGGGATTCTCTCTTTACAATAAGTGAACATTCATGAGTACTGCTTGAAGTATAAATGGATTTCTGTGTTTAACCGGAATAAGTGGGATTTTAGATGTAGCTAGCTGTCAATAACTAGCACAATCCTTGGAGGCAATAGATGTGGTGGAGCAACAAAGGAAATTATAGTTATACACCAAGTCTTCCTCAATCAAGTACTCGGCCAACATTTCAGATTCTTGTTTAGTATTCCTAATTCCATTCATTCATTGTCTAAAGACCATCAAAGTTGTACGCTAGTCTTCCTCAAACAAGTACTCATTTGTTGTATTCCAAATTCCTTTGATTGATTGTTTAAAGACCCCTTAATCTATACAGCACAACCTCCATGTACTTTTTATGCCACAATGGCCTATCTAGCTCAGGAGATACAAGTGCAGTTTCAGAAGATAGTAAAAGAAGTGGAGCTCATTAAAACCTATGCTCATTTCAAGGTAATTCTTTGTGAACAGAACTTTCTCTCAACTCATACAAACTGCATTTTTATTAAGACAAAAGTATAACACGTCTCTACATTTGTGGCACTTCTATAACTCAGCACAGTTCTTTGATGATAAAAATTTTATAAACTAACTTGAAACATTGAATCGTGTTATATCAATTTATTTACAAATTTCTGGTTTTCCTCCTTTGACAACTATAATCAAGGTTCAAAATGCTTTGATTTAAAAGACAAGCTAACAGCTTAATTTAAGAAGTCTAGGTCACAAAAACTCATCTTCTCACAGTTTGTGGCATGTTAGGCACATTTGAGACACAATCAAACTAGAAATCTGCACATTTGCCCAAATCATCTTCTTATTCATTTCTGATAAGTTGCAGATTGTTCAAATGAACTCATCACTAGCATAAAACTATCAGATTTACCCAATCTCATATCCTTGCTGTGTTCCTTCTCAATCATAAGCTGCTGTATTTTTTATTTTATTTCATTAATCTATTCTTTTTTCCTTGCAGTTGTTTCATTCAGATCAGGGCTTCTAGTACATACATCTTCAAGTTTAATTTGTATTCCTGATTTTGAGCTAGAAAACATAATTTTCTTTCATAATCAGATATCTGCACTCTATATGACTAGCTCCCCATACTACAGCCAAAAAATAAAAATAAAAAATTATGAAGTTTTGCATGTTTGAATCTTGAAATTCTCAATTACAAAATTCAGATGTAATGTCATACAATTAACTAAAACTTAGGCTTACAACATAATTAAACCTCTTGAAGATAATAAAAAATGCTAACATTTACTGGGACTCAAACTTCCCCTCATAATTAAAATTTCAAAGCAACAGGCAAACCAAAAAACAAAAGCACTAGTAAACAGGAAAATGTATCACTTGGCACAACCAACCTTAAATTCTAAGTTTTTTACATAATCCAAGAAGAAAGGAATATTGAGAGCAACTACCTAGTGAAGGCAGCCAAATGAGAAAATGTTTAGTGATTGGTGATTGTTCGCTTTTGTTGAAGGCTGGCTGCAAAATAAATGCATAGAAGGATCAGAACATCAGAGCAATATACTGATCATAGAGGAAAACAAAATTAACTCCCTTCCATCCTCAGATGATAAAAATCTAAATTTTGAAGAGCTCTTTAATCCTAGAGTCCTAAAAAAGGTTTCCAAAGTTTCAAGTTATCAAAAGATTACCAGTGACAGTGATGGCGAGTTCTGAGTCCAGGAATAACTGACTAAAGAGCAGCATATGTGTGGTGAATTGGAGATGTTTTCTTTTAAAGATTGAGACATTTTGGTGAAATGTGTCAAAGTTGAGACTTGAGAGGGAACCAGCAAGTTATGGGTTTTCCAAGCAAGTCAAGTGAAACATCCAAGCATGTTGGATTTTCTTGTTCATATCTATCCTTTTTTCTCCTTTAGGATTTTCAAGCAAGCCCCCCTCAAATCTGGAAGCAATTTCAAAATAGAGAAATTGCAGCCTACTTAGCCAAAGTACATGTATCAAGCATGCAGAACCAGATGCAGGCATGCAATTTCAGCATGTGGATTTTTAATGAGAGACAAGCAATTTTCAGTCATTGAAGAAAGGAAGAAATTTCAAAATAGACAGATTGCAGCCTTATCCTTAATCATGTATCGGCTAGTGAACAACAAACTCAAAGAAAAGTATTACAAAATTGAGCTAACAGCAACAGGTGGTGGCAAGTACTGATTTTGCAAAATCAACCAACTTGAGGTCTTCCTTTAATTGTGTCTAGTGGGACCAAAATAAACTCAACAAAAACATCACTAGTGGCTCAAGCTTCAGCACTCTCTGGAAAGAGGTAAACTGAATAAGGGAAATGATAATGAATACAATCAATGTGGCAGATGACAAGATTTTACATAAGAAAGTGCAAATAGATATGCCTATCTTCAACTGGAACTGGATTTTACTGCAACAACATAGAAATGGTTTTGAAGGGCCTTAATTTTATCTATGCTTTTAAGTCTTTAGCAGCCTTCTAGAGTTCGAATATGTTTTATTACTCCACTGCTTGATAAGGAAAAAAAGGCAAATTTTAGATATCTTGACATAACCACCTGATCTAAAAGCTTGATATGCTAGATGGAACAGAATATTTAACATTGGCACCTCCAACAAGCCATCACCAGTTAGTTGGATTCTTTCAGTAGGCAATGCTGAAACTTAGTCGTGTGTAGACCTTTAGAGAAACTTAACATCTAAGTTGGATTCTTTTCAGTGTCCAGAATGTATGAATACCAAAAGTGGTGCCAAAAATTCATCCCAGTAACTTTTATATGCATTTTGCTAATCTCACCACTTTTTTGAAAGCCCAACAAACAACAGGGACAATAAGTCTCACGAATATACATAAAAACTATCATAAATCCATAGCACCAATCAGATAACCATTTTGGTTATATCTTTTGAACCTTTGCATTTTTTGAAATGTTAGGGACATCCAGACACGGTCACACATCTATGAAGTAAATGAAATTTGAATTTGTTAAGTTGTTTGTCAGTGCACTTTCCATTTAACAAGTGCAATGAACCCTTATTTTGTGGTAGTACGTAATGTTTAATCGGTGATTAGTTGCTACTAAGGACTCAAAGAAGATACCACAAAAGACTGCACAGTAATTGACTCTAAATTTCATTTTCTAGCAGACCAATAGTTCAGAGAACAAGCAGGTTATTTATTTCTTCTAAATCCCTTCACTTGACAGTACTAAATCTTAAGGCAGACTCAAATGTTAAAGGCTCAAGCTTACAATGTACAATTTGCTTATTAGTCTGTTCTTTCAAGGATGCTATCTCAAATGCCATCACTTCCCTCTTGTTTTTACTCACACACACTAGAATCAAAACACTAGCTCATACACCATCAAATTTCCAATGAATGCATAGAGCAGAAGGATGTTGTATACAATATTCACAGAAGGTTCAAGCTACAGAACAGGCAAAGCTCGTTGAACACATTGTAACATTGCTGATAATATATTGTATTACCACTACATAAAAATGAAATGTCATTACAATGAAGTAACTTTATGAAATTTCACATAGCAACTTATTCAATAACTTAATGTAAGTATATTAAATGTCATACCAATGAAGTAGGTTTAGGCCTCATAATCTATGTAAACCTTTTGAAGACAATACCAATACTACCATTTACTTGTGCTTGAACTTCCCTTATCATAGTTTAGAGAAACAGAATCAAGAATACTACCACACTCCAACCTTCTCTCTCTCTCTCTCTCTCCCAAGAGCACCACCAAAAAAGAAAAAGGACTAGTTATAGTAAATGTATCAGTTTCCACAATCAACATAAAAATCAATATTTCCAGAGAATTCAAGAAGTCTGAAATTCAGTTGTAATTACCTAGTAAAGGCTGGCAAATGAGAAAATTGTTCACTGGTGAATGATTGGTTTCCTTTTCTTGATGGTTGGCTGCAAAATAAAAACAGAAATTGATCAATAAAACAAGAGAAATGCCCTCATAACGGAGATAATGAAAATTAACGCCTTTTAGTCCTATACTCCTACGGATAGAAATTTTAACTTTGAATTTGGCAGTGGAACCCTTTAGCCTTGGAGTAACAAAAAAGTTTCTTTCAAATTTTAGAAAGATTATTGACTTGAGAAGTAGTACATGTTTGGGGTAGTGGAGGGGTCTTCTTGTAAAGATTGAGACTTTTCTGGAACATGTATGAGAATTTGAGACTTGAGAGGGAGCTCAGCCAAATTATAAAGGGTTTTACTTTTTCTTTTAGGGATAATTTTAAAAACCTCCCTCAACGCTTCTGATAATTTTATAAAAGGGTTTTACTTTTTCCTTTAGGGATAATTTTAAAAACCTCCCCCAACGCTTTTGATAATTACACTTAAATACCCTTATTCCATTTACAATTAAAGAAAAGTATTTTAATTATTAGAATTTTGTGAAAGAAAAATGCAAATTTGCTTAACTTTGCAAAACATTTTATCTATTATGAAGAATTTTTATACTCATTGTATGTAGCGTGTCTTCTCTAAACTTAAAAAAAAAAATTATTTTACTAGAGAATATGTTACCTTCAGTAACATCATTTTAGTATGCACACTACTAGTATTGAATATATGCACAATGAAGCAACATGATTTTAGAGATTTAACTTTATAGATTTTAATAATAACTAAAACATGTTACCTACAAAAACGATCTATTTAGTATTAGTGCTAGAGGCACACTTCATATGTGTACAACTAATAAAAAAGATAGTTAAAAGATTTGAATTAATTTTTGTTTGAAAGTAGCAGTAGTTTAAAAGAGTTGAACTATTTTTGTATCTTAGCGAAGTTATAAATTTTTGTTAAGGAAGTGTAAAGTAGTAATTTTTTTTGTTAAGGAAATGGTAGTTAATTCAATAGGATTTGAAATGGTTTTTGGACATGAGTGGTTCAAACGATATAATTGTCTTTAGAAATAAAGATAGATTAAGTAAGTAGAGTAAATGCCTTTCTTCCCTTTTTCTATATAGTGAGATCTAGTCAAATAGTAAGATATAGTCAGATGGAAGATCTGTTGTGTTTAGAAGTGCTGCTTTGCTTTGTAACAATCCGAATGTATTGGCCCTCTAGCGTTGTCCCATAATTCAGTGGCGGAGCCAGGATTTGAACCTTAGTGGGCAAAAGTTATGCATTTAAGAATAGTATCTAACAAAAAAAAATTTCGTACAAAGCAAAGGATGTAATTGATAAAAAAAAAATGTTATCCAACTATGGCATAATGCTCAAATACAAAAAGTAAAATTTTATGTCTATACCTAACAAATAAGATTAAGGGATCAATTAACCAATTACGAAGATATTTTGTATGTGTGTGTGTGTGTGTGTGTGTTTTTTTTTTTTTTTGTGTTTACTTATGTTGGAAGGATGGGCTTGTTTGATGATCTGTTGTTTTAAGTTTTTTATATTTAATGTCTATGACACTTCTTTGAGGATCCTATATATTATATGAATTTTTCTAATCGGATGCTCTTGAGACAATTGTTAATGTACTTAAATTATACTGAACATATAAATGTACACATTCATATTTTTTTATACCCCTATATTTATACACTTTTCCAAATTAGTTTTACACTTTTCAAAAAGTTAACACATGAAGCCATCTTCATGCCCATGAGGCACTCGTTTGTAGAGCTGTTAAACGAGTCGAGTCGAGCTCGAGCACATGATAATCGAGCTCGACTCGAACATCTAATCAAGCTAACTCGAACTTGCTCGATTAGTAATTCGAGTTTCACAATCTGTTCGAGATCGACTTGATGTACTCGGTAGAAAACTCGAACTCGAGTTTCCTATCGAGCCGAGCTTATCGAGCTCGAAACTCGAGCTCGAGCTCGTTTGGGACACAATTCAGGAAGGTAACAGATTATTATGTAAACAAATAATCCTATTATTACCCAATCACACACTAGTTCCCGAAGCGTATAATACCATGCAATTGATGGACAAATGACAACGCAAGGCAGACACGACCAAGAAATAGAAAAAGAAGTTAAAATTGCTCCGAAAACTATTAAATGGAGGAACAAAATGTCCAAACTCGGCATCAGATCAGATCAAATTACAAAATGAAAAATTACATAAAAGAGTCCAAATAATTAAACATCAGCCAAACAATTAAACATTTGATTAAAGTATCAAATACACAATAAAATGACGCTAATGCCCCTATCATTCGAACCTGTCGAGCTCAAACGAGTCGAGCATAGCTCGGCTCGTCTATTAAACGAGTATCCAGTTGAACTCGAGCTTGGCTCGTTTCTCTCAGTAAACGAGCCGAATCCAACCCTTATCGAGCCGGGTCGAGCTCGGCTCGCGAACTATCCAATTCGATTTACTCATTTGGTTAGAATATACAAACTTCTATTATTTTTTGTCAGCCGTACTCTTTTAAAATACAGAGATAGCATTTTAATTTTTGATAAAATTTAATTTAGAAAACTGTCCAAAAGCGAGGAAAGCAATAAATATTTGATATATGCATTCACATGGTAAATTACGTATAATACATAAGTGTAAGAGTGAATGTCCACTACAAGAAATTCCTTATCGCAATTTAGACCTAAACCACTATTGTCGTCTGCTTGTGCCCCCCTGTGTGCATCTCCAAAAGTCTGTAGGTAAGCTTTATCCCCCCAAAAAAAAAAATTTGTACGTAAGCTTTTATCCATTGCTTCAAAAAAAAATATGCTTTATCCAAAAAATTTTTTTAAGGGGGCAAAAAATTAACATCATAAAAGTTCTTCACTATAATCATCTAGTACTTCAAAGGAATTTCAAAATTCTTTTGGGGCTATAAACATCCCTTTATTTCTAACTAGTCCAAATCACATAAAATTTGAAGGCAATAATTTATGATGTTGGATAAAGAGACAACTTTGTAGACAAAAAGTACTAAAAGAAGGTAATAATTTATGGTGTGGGATAAGGAGAAAACATTGTAGATAAAAGCACTAGAAGAGTTCTTTTATATCTTTATGCAATGAATATCGGGCACATGTACAATGATACAATAATTCTCTGTTCTGATTGTGAGAAATGTGACAAGGATAATTTGGAGCAAATTGTAGAAAAAACATGACTAGTGGGGGATCGGGTCCACTCCCATGTCTTTCAGTGTTTCAGCCCGTGGAGGCCTGCAATATAATACAAAGCAAAAATTTGTCATTTTCCACTTTTCTCTTTTACATAATCTGCAGCCCGAAAAAACAAAAAAAAAAAGTGCTTCGATTGTTCAATTCATATTGATTGATCATCAAATAAATACATGAACAGGATTTCAGAAATGGTCTGTTTTGTTTGTAAAGTCCAGGCAAAAGATTGCTTTACTTCCTGAATTTCTTGGTGAATGGAATCCAGTGAACATATGGCCAAAGCTATAGGGGCAAAAAGAAAACTCCACTTGCAAATTGAAAAAAACCTTCTTATGTTAGTTTATATTCGTGATAGTAACTCATGGACAAGAAATACTCAAATAAAAAGTTGTTATATTTTCTCAAAAATTTTTTAATTTGTTAAAAGCTTTTATTGTTCAAGAAGTCTTGAATCTCCTTGACAATGCTAGTTTTGCAGCGTTCGCTTAGGAATAGGTCAATATTTTTGCAAATAACATTTTGCTTATATAATAAATATATTTTTCAACTCGTTTTATTATATTTTTCCAAAAAAAAAATGATACAATAATTATTCCAAATAATACTCTATTCAAACACAATTATTGTTATCATGATCATGAGAAGAAAAACACCAAATTTTTACTCCTTCAAAATTCACCTCTTCTTAGAATTTTAGAAAGCACCAAAATCTTTTTTACGAATTTAGAAAATCATTATAGCTAAATATAAAGTACCTCGAATAGATGTCTCCACGAATGGGATTAGGGATAACTTGTTCACGAGCTTTATCATTGATATGAGCCAGTTTTCGGAAGATAGATCTTTTCATGAATTTTTCGGATTCCTCTAGTACATGCTCAGGCTCCACCACCTCCGGAATTGTTTCCCTTCTTGATTTCTTCACGTACACATTTGGTCCGCTCCTAAGCTCTTTCAATGCTATGTACATCCCCAAACTAGTAGACAGTCCAATCATCCCAATAGCCATAAACATTGGTGCAAAATCTCCTTTCTTTGCCCTGGTGTGTAAAGCCAACATATTGCTATATATTATTTTGTTTTTCTCTTGAAACTATCAAGACCATTAAATATTGGCACGTTCACAAATATTTAAAGCAGAGCCTTTCCAAGGATTCTTCTCTTCAATTATGAAACCAATTCAAACCTCAAGAACATCATTAAAAAAAAAATCTAATAAAATGTATTTCTATTACTTTACTTGCATAACTAACTAAATTGATTTATCTTTTGAATTGCTTTATTGCAAAAAAAAAAAAAAAAAAAAAAGGTGGCCAGATGTTACCTTGCTTTGATTTCAGGGGGCAGTGCTAAATCAGCTGTTGGGACGAAGGCCTTCATTTTCGGAGTGGTTGATGTTGAAAAATTGGAGTTTCCTCTTAAAAGACCTACCATAGATTTGAGATGAGTCTGCATTATCAAAACTAAAATTAATCAGACAAAAATAGGCAAGAAGACTAAAGGGATCAAATCATCAGTTCCCTTATTTGCTAGTATAGCAAGAGAACAAACTACACAAAAAACTGAAGCACATTTACTTACAGATGATCTCAGAGCCATCGCCAATATAGAACACAAACAAGATGCTCTGTACTTGTGAAAGACCAATATTCAAGTGATTCCAAACCGTCTAGACAAGTAATGCTGGTTTGGTGTTATCTACTTTTGATCCCACTTGAAAGGTATTCATGCTTGTGTCGCATTTTATAATACAGAATGGAAGGAAAAGAAGATTCCGGAGATAGCTAGGAGCAGCATAAATATACAGAAGATTAAGGAGACACTTGCCAGAAGGCTAATGGTTACACGATATCAGGATAGATGGAAATCTCCTGAAGAAAGTAGAAACTTCACTTTGCTCTGTACTTGTTATTCGTTGATTGGAGTTCTG